CTGCAGAAAAGAGAGCGAAATAGAGACTTGCTAGTAAATCCATATGTTCCACTAGGAACCCAAAGAAAAAATGGTAGAAATAATAATAATACAACCTACCACAGTCCCCATGTTTCACTCGTATGTTGAAGAATCTTCTAGTTCACAGAAAACTCCAGCGTTAAACTTGTAGATATGAGTTTTATAAATTATCCTTTTATTTACCGAAGGAAAGGTCACCTCATGGGGACAAAATACCGTTGCCAAAATGAGGGTATAAATTGTCGATTAAAAATGATGGGGTACGTAATCAAAACAGTAGAGCGTACTATTCATTTAACCTTCTACCAAGAAGTGAATACATGAATCGCTTAATAACTCAAAACTGTCAGTCAGTTTATCATTCTGGAACCTCTCATTCAATGAATATGACAAAATGATTTAAGCATCCCCAGTTCATGAAGTTAATTTTCGGAAAAAAGTTTTTTTAAGTACATACAACTCATCTCTGTCGGTATGCTTACATTTCACCCTCTATGAAGGAATTTATTCGAGTTACTTTACAAAAAGGATCTATTCTTTAGAAAATGTTGAACGCATTCGGGAAATTACTTTATCAATGACAAACCGAAAGTTAATTTCTATTTTCTACCTTCTCTATAGAGAAAACTAGCACATACTATGAATAAAACTTACCAGATTACTTATTTTACCATAAGAACGGAATGTATTCACATTTGAATATGTTAAAGTTTACAGGGATACATCTCTGGCATCACGGAAACAACTGAGCAACTTGGATATTTGTTTGTGTTTATCCGAAGACCACGGTCGTGAATACACTATGAAAACTCAGACGCTTACCAAAAGGTTGTAATAAATGGTATTTCGGTGTCATCATATCTTTAAAGAATTATAGTGACAAGACAGAAGTTCATGTAATTTAATATTACTATCCACAAACATCGTTGAAAGTAACTGAATCCGTCCTTCGAACTTTATACGTCGGCTTCTCGCATAGTGGTGTTAAGACTATCTTTTAAGGATTTTCACTGAGCAGAATTTAGGCGAAGTACACGAGTACATAATCTGTATTAACAAATCAACTCAGAGAAAATACACAGTTTGTATATTTTCTTTGAATGTATCCAAACCGATGATGGGGTGGATTAATCGGAAAGTTTTTTTCTCCGGATTAATGTGGTTCAACAAATAAAGTTTACTTTAGGTGAATAATTAGGGTGTAGTATAACGAATAACAAAATAAACAAATATTCTATATTGTTCCTTAGTGTTTCAGTCTTGCTAGCTGGGTCCATTTCATGGTTATGAATCATATGGTATTTTCTGGTTAGTACTCAGCCTTGTCATTGAAGCAGACTCTTTTGGCTATCCAATTAAATTTCTACACGGAATAAAGACAAATATAACTTATGTGAGCTATTTAATAAATGAGTCAGACGGGTTTATGCCAGTTTGTGCAAGTGAGTTAGTAACAGTGAAATATACAACCGAAAAATGAATCCTCAGGGCGGAGAATAAAATTAAATTGATATTTAGAATAGCTGGATATATATACTGGCCTGTAATTTCCTATCATTTAATAGGCTGAATCAATGGATCACTGATTACAGTTGGGCTCCACGATATTGGTTAGTGGTGGAATGAATGACACATATTTCATACTTTTCGGAGCCTAGCAGCTAAATGCATCTGCCTCCCAATGAATGTTGTCCTCCCTGCGACTTGAAGTCATCATATCACTTCAAACAACAACTGGGCCTGTTCAACTCGATTCAGTCAACTAAAGAAAAATTGCAAGCTGTACAGCCAAACTATGCCAATGTCACATGTAGTGTATATCATTACTCATTTGCGTGATGAATAATGATATGGAATTTAAATCAGTGGGTTCTCGGTTCGAGCCTTAGTATGGATGACGTCATTTACTGGGAATCGGGTTTATCTGGATGACGAGTTTCGCACAGGACACTGATATCAGTAGACATACTTGAAGAGGTAAAGTGGTAACGGGACTGTGCTAGCTTAAATCAGTAGTGGTGTTTTACAAAATCTTAACCGATGTGCATAATTTTTGCCTTAGGCATGTGTTAATATTATATTAACGTATACATTTAATGAACAGTAGGATGCCTAATTTGAAGCCGCAGTAATAGCTTTTAAGTTGACAGATACATATTTAAAAAAAGACTATTGGTATCATACTGAGGTACTAAATGAAAAGAACGAATTTTAAGTGAGGCTCATACAACCTATAAGTAAACCTCATGATTTCAAAAAACGGATACATCTGAGTTGATAGGATATTTTTAGAAATTCGCAACTCAATTGTGTAATAACACTAAAATTAATCTTACTAATCAAGAATAGTCTAACTAACAAATTGTAGAGATTATTTGTTGCTAAGAGTGTGACTGTTCAAACTGAGTTATTCTTTGAGATGTGGTTTTTGTTTCCAAACATTATAGCGTCATGATAAATATAGTGATCAATGCGTCTAAGTTTGATCAAAAAAGGAAATCTTTGGCTGTGCATGGCTATTTATAGCAAACAAGTTATATTATAGGCATAAGCTTATGCGTAAAGGTGTAAGTAAAAATTTAATTTGCGTTTGTGGGAATTTATTGGTTTTCAAAGTTGATATTCTTCATGGACTGACATCATTTGGAGGAACTGGGAGCACTGGCCAGCTGTTTCAGCCTAGTATGAGTCTCTTCACCAGTACCCTGGCATAGCCCTACCCCGCCAGGGATCGAATTCAGGACCTTCAGGATCCGTGGCTAACTCGCTACCAGTAAGCCAATGGGTCGGAATCTGATGATTCATATTTCCACCGGTCAGTTCTTGATATAACGCGACCATCACTTAATGTTATCGTTGACTATTTGTCCTCACGTCCACCAGATTTGTCCCATGGATCACGAGAATGTAATATTATTATTATTATTATTTGTCCATTGGGTTCCTAGAATATAGGGCTTCAGGAGCACGTCTCCATTCCACTATCTTCCCTGCAAACTTTTGAACCTGGCTACACGACTTCCCACAACATCTCATTGCCTCCTCGCAACAACTCCTCCACGTCAACCTCAAATGTCCAACTCGTCATTTCCCATTGCGTTCCTACTTGAGTGCCTGGCCTGGCGCATGATGTCCCAGTCGGACTTCTCAGTGTATCCCCAATTCAATCCATCTCCACTTTCTTCTTCTGCATATTTATTGAATGATAGGTTCTTGGTTGGTTCGTTGCCAGACCAGAGGGAGTTCTTCGTTGTTTATTCTTATTATTCCAGCAACCCATCTGTTCTTCAGTTTCAGTATCAAGCCAGTGTAGGCAGCAGCTATTGATGAATGTCTGTAGTTTGTTGGAAATACTTTTCGCAACGCGCCACCAAGTATGTGAACCATTACATGGAAGCACTGACTTAATTGACATTGGTGTTCAAAATCCGAACGTTGTTCACACTTTATGCTGAGTGCAGTGCAGAAGATCTCCACACTGGTTTCAGATGAATGAACGCCTGTCTTCCTGTCTTTCAGATCCTGGCTGCCTTGACGTTGTTGTTGGTTGGGTATCTCCATCATCTCCGTCTTCTCAACGTTTACTTGAAGTCCTGTCTTCGCTGCCCTACCTCTTCTGCCAACTTGTTAGTTTTCGCCCGTAGATCTTCAAGTTCGCGTGACATTAGACATAAGTCATTGGCAAAGTCCAAGTCTTCTAGGTTCTTTTCCCCGGTCCAGCGTATCCTCCGCTTCTAGCTCTTCACTGTTTGTTGCATGATCCATTCCAGTCGACCACAATCAGGGAGATCATGGGTGATAGCAGGTGGCAGTCTTGTTTCACTCCTGTCTTTACTTCACTTCAAAGGCACCACTTAGCTTCCCATTGTGAGTTACTTGGCATGTGGCGTCTTCATATAGTTGTTGAATGAGTTTGATAAAGGTTTGTGGTATTCCGTAGTGTTGAGACAGCTGCCTTCCAAATTACTTCCCGGTCGATGCTGTCTTAGGCCTTCTCAAAGTCGATGAGGTTGAGGTGTAGAGTTGACTGCCATTCTATACTCTGTTCCATGATGATGCGTAGCGTAGCGTTGCAATTTGATCCCCACATGATTTACATTTCCTGAAGCCAGCCTGTTTGGGTAGTAATTTTGAACCCAGTGCATCCGTTAGGCTCTCCAGGTATGTGTGGCTGTCTACACTTTCCAAAGTAAACCTTACAATGCGATGGAATAAGTGAGTTTAATCGACCTTACTCACTCTGGTATAAATACTACTGATATCTGGACGTTCGTTAAGACTAAAGTTAGCAAATCATCTTATTTCAGTTTGCTACTAGCTGTTTTCTGAGTTGGGTATGCTCCAATTATTTTCTTCTTATTTTCATCAGCAGGAATAGATGCTTGCTGAGAGAGACAACTTTATTTGATGCTGCAAAACATATGTCCACCTTAAAAAGCTTTCTTCTCTCAGATTGGATTTCCAAAACCCTTTTGTGTGTAGATAATAAATTATATTCAATTCTACGCAGTAAAAACTATTTCTGGCCAAAAATATTTGGAACATAAGGCAAGGAGTTAGCTTGTCTCTACCAAATACTTATCACTATAAAGATGCAGCTTTAGTACCAGAACATCTAGTTTTTATATTATTGCAGATGTGAACTAAAATTAAAACCATTTTATTATAGTTAAAAGTTTTCATGATCACGATGATCGGTTATCGCTGACATTTCCTGGCGTTCATATCTAGTTCGAATTCCCTTCTTTAAATTTCAAGAAATAACTAATGCTATTTTTATATCACCACATCTACAACAGTTTCTAATTGAATGTACTGATTTGCTATACTCATATATTTATATCATCTAATGACGTCTGTCTACTTCAATGTGTTTCTATCTTACAGGATTCTTGAGTCATTTATTTTGGTAGTAAATTCAATTCAAGACCGTTATGAAATAAAAATACACGGCAACTTCCAACTATTATTTGGTTTTCATGGATTCTGAAAATCGTGTGATCTTGAATGTTGGTGGAATACGGCATGAAACATATAAAGCCACACTTAAGAAAATTCCTGCTACACGGTTATCTAAACTGACAGAAGCAGTTGCTAATTATGATCCCATACTAAATGAGTACTTTTTTGATCGTCATCCAGGTGTTTTTAATCAGATTCTCAATTATTATCGTACTGGAAAGCTACACTATCCCACTGATGTCTGCGGACCCTTATTCGAAGAAGAACTTGAGTTCTGGGGTCTTGATGCTAATCAGGTAGGTTCTCCATATGCTGTATGTATTTCCTTTCTGTTAACGTTGAACCAAAAGAGTACTTTTTTATTTCAAGAGGTGCTTACTATCATCGTACCTCTAAATTCGATATTCATACAACAATAATAATGATTGCTCTATTCCAAAGAAGATTAGAGGCAGAGTATGGAATTCTCAGTATATAACAGTTCAACAAATTCATTCCCTGTACAATATCTTTAAGTGAAATAATCACCGCATTTAAATAATGTTAATAATAACAGTAATAAAAGGCCCAGTGTTAAACAGGCACGTGATATTAAATTAGCATCTGTTTTGGACTGGTAGTGGTAGTTTATTCATTCAGTACCGCTACTCTAGTTCTTTGGATTTACAAGCCAATCTCTTACCGGTATATTATTTATTCTTTGTTTTGATGTTAGCTTGAAAAACGGCAGTTTGAGACCATTTTACAAGTGCATGAGAGTATTTGATGTGCTTAAAAAACATTATTACGAATAAAACAAATTAGAGGGATGGATTTAATGAAATAAATTCCTTCGAAAATTACCCATAGTCCAAAGTTTATGTGGACCATAAGAACAGTAATCAAAAATTTCTCTTCACACTTTTTGTTAGGATGAAAATAATTAGGTGATTTGAATTTGACCTATCTCTCTCTTTCCCTATATATATATATATATATATATATATATATATATATATATGTTTCGTTTGTGCTTTGAAGTTTCTTTAGCTGTTAGATTTGTTTTACGCGGTAGGATTGCTAGCCCTATGCCCAACCTTCCCTCTTTACCAGGGCTTAGGACCTGCTAGTAACTAGTGAACTAGTTAACCAGGCGAGGTGGACTGGATCATGCAGCAAACAGTAGGGAGCGAGAAGAGGGGGATATGCTGGACTGCGGAAAAGAACCTAGAAGATCCGGATTTCCCCGATGACTTGTGCCTGATGTCACACAAACTTGAGGATCTACAGGTGAAAACTAACAAGTTGGCAGAAGAGGTAGGGCAGCGAAGACGGGACCTCAGGTGAATATAGAGAAGACGGAAGTGATGAAGATACCGCACCACCACCACCAACAACAACAAACTCCATTCACCATCAACGGGAGAAACTCAAAGGAAGTAACCTCCTTCACCTATCTATGAAGCACTGTTTCAACTTCAGGCGGCACAGACGAGGATATCAAAGTCAGAATCGGAAAAGCAAGACAGGCGTTGATTAGCCTGAAACTAGTGTGGATATCTTCTGCACTTAGCATGTGGAACAAGATGCGGATTTTCAACACCAGCATCAGTCAAGTCAGTGCTTCTGTATGACTCAGAGACTTGGCGCGTCACGAAAGGCATTTCCAATAAACTACAGACATTCATCAACAACTGCCGCCTACTCTGGCCCGATACTGAAGATCAGATGGCCAGAATAATAAGAACCTATCACTCAACAAATATGCAGGAGAAGAAAGTGGAGATGGATTGGGCATACACTGAGAGGGCCGACTGCGGACATCACGCGTCAGGCCCTCGAGTGGAACCCCCATGGGAAGCGACAAGTTGGGCGTCCGAGGTGGGGGTGACATGGGGGAGATTGTGCGAGGAGGAAATGAGAGCTTGTGAGCTGTTGTGGAGCCAGGTTGAAAAGATTTCAGAGGACAGAGTGGAATGGAGACGTGCTACTGAAGCCCTATGTTCCATTACGAACCCAAAGGACTAATAATAAATAATTATATATATATATATATATTTGAACAACGTAAAGTGTGTTCGTTTCTATGGAAAAGTGTACTAGATGCTGTCAACCATACTCTTGTTCCATATCAAGACGAATCCAGTGAGCTGTGATGAATGTTGTCGGAAAAGATACTTTAGTTCTGAAAATATTCGGTATATTACTTTTATCCTTATGAACACTATGATAGACTTCTGAAATAAACATTTTATGCACCTGTACTGAGTACTGGTGAAGTAGTTCAATGAATAATATCAAGGGATAAAAATTATTTATTACTAACCGTTATCAATTTTTCCCTCAGATTACAATAACATTACCACTGAGAAGTTGTTTTCCTTTTTCGCCAACTACATAATCACCAGTGCATCGGAACAGTTCGTGCGAAATATGTGAATCTATCTTGTGTGTTTTTGCAAATATGCTATAAATATTACTGGATTAATTATTATAAATTCTCCTGAAAACCAAGTTTCGGTCTTAAGCTTAACTATCAGTTAACCAACAGACATGCTGAGTGTTACTTAATGGATATGGCTATTCCATGCCACTCAAATAACTCATGCTGTCCAGTTGTTGAAACGATGATAATCTAGCACTGAACATCGTTTCTGGCCACAAATAAACTTTGGAAAATATATCAGTTGATTAAAGATGATATGGTCATTTTTTTTAATGTCGACCAAAGTCAAATGGTGTTACCTTCAGTATTACCCCTGAGTTAAATCGTATGAAACTGTGGTTTAATTAATTCTTGTAAGACGGTTGCATGAGTCGTTTAAAACTCTACAAGCTGAATTTCTTGTGACTATATTATTTTGAGTTTACTGCCCTACAGGGGAATTTTCAAATGCACTCAAGGTTTTTAGAACGAAGTTAAAACAAGTCATCTTTCGCATGAAATTCCTACTTTCACACAAACTCAGTTTAACTAGCGAGGATCAGTCTTAGTTGTTTACTGCAATACTAATTAACCGTCAAATTACCACTTGACGAACCTGTTATCGTATACAAAATCGAATCTATCATATACCCATGTATCTGTAAAATACGTAGCTATGTGAATAGGTAGGCAGCAAAACGTAAGTGTACCTGATTATACCTTAGAATATAAAGACATCCTAAGGAACACTACCTTCAAAAGTGTATGAATTCACCTCTTTATACGACACAACCCATTTAGTCATATCACTTTGTTCAAAACTATTAGTATCAGAAAGCAAAAAACTCCGGTAGTCAGAGTAGGTGGACTTTTCCATTGATAGCACGTGACATTTTCAATTTGACAATGATTCCTCAAAAACTCTTTTACAGAAACAGCTTCTACCGCATAATGAATACAATAAGATTTATCAACTGTATAAAGTTAATAAAAGTGTTGAAATTGCGCACTGTGATAGGATGTAATTCAATATTAGATCCGTTTGTTTGATATATATCACATTGCGACATAGCGTAATTTACTTGAGCACGTTTCGAGCACAAATTATTACTCAAAATTATATCAGTGCGATAACACTCCTTTCAGTATCTGATTTTCTAATACTATGCGTGTGTTCGAACACATAAGAGACGAAATAATAGCAGCTACACGAGTACGAATAATAGTGACAACACGAGTAGAAAGGAATGAACAGCCTCTGTTAATTAACCCTATAAGGAAAACATCAGAAACTTTAGGTAGGATCCTCAACAAAGCTGGAATTAGGGTGGCATTTAAACCTACAAACTCACTCAGAGATAAGTTTTGTCGGCTAGCTTAAGGATCCGATAGGACCAATCGAGCAGAATAATCTAATCTACTAAATCTCATGCAATGATTGTGATATCAAGTACATAGGTGAAACTAGTTGGTCAGGGTCGGTTACAGCAACGAAACACAGGAATTTAGCTGAAAATCCAATAAAGGACCCAAATAACATAAACAATATAGAAAAGCGATCGGTTATTGCAATGCATGCATTGACAAGTAAGCAGCCACACAGTAGGGTGGGATGAAACAACTGGACTTAGTTGGAATGTAACTGAGGAGAGAGAGACCGATTACTGAATCTTTGTTCATCGAATCAACACGCAACACATGTAATACGAGTGATGCAACACGTATGCCAGAGATATGGAAAACTTCACTACAAATAGAAACAAACAATATAAGGTGACAGGACTAAAAAAATCAGATGTCGTAAGTTGTGTAATTACATTGGCGTGATTTGAAGTAATAATTCACTATCGTAACGTCATCATGTAAATTATACTGTATCATAGTGCGCTATATATCAAATAAATCTGATGAAGTAAATTAGGCTTTTAAGATCTACCAGAAAGTAGTGTTGTATTACTATCGTGTTATTTCAAATAAGCTGGGTTAATACTACTTCTCAACTCAGTGAAAATCTGCGTTTCTTATTCTTGCTAACTTTACTTAATAATTCAAATCTTAAAGGGAAGACTTAGCGTTAATTTTACTGTCTTTGGTCTTTTTCCGTGTGATTGGATATAGATAGGCTTAGTCGCCATTATATAAACAAGTGTATGAAAACGCAACAAACAGCTATGTAGTTGCTGTTCTTTTCCATTTCATCAACTTCCACCAGCGTTTGTGTTCTTTCATTCCAGACACCGTTTTCCCACTGATAGTCAATAAGAAATGACTCCAAATAAATGTAGCTGCTAAAACATCTAGAATGCTTGTGTTTTTGCATAAAAATTCTTTGAAGTAAAAGTCAAAGACAAACTATTTCTCTAATGCAGAAGCTATATCACTTGACTAAAATTGAATTAGTATACTTGGAGGGTTTGGCTTAGCACTTATTTCATTACCTGTAGCAGTGAACGCTGTCTGCTATCGACGATTACATCTAGACTATCAAGTTTATCACCAACATTTTACTTGGGACCATATGCTACTCATCTCATTCTTCTACCTTAGTTGGAGTGGCACCAATGTGAAGTCTAAAACTTACTATTGAAAGCAATAAATCTCTACAAACTGAAAACTAAATTACTATCCACTGTTCATTATTGATTAACCCTAGGCGGAATTTCTTGAGTTTCTAGTGGGAAGTCGCAACCCTTGAAGTCACCCAACGTAAGCATGAAGGTGATGCCCACTGAGGACACTTTCAATGGTCGAACTATGTCACAAATTGATATTATGTTATTGCGTCATTGGTTACCAATCCAGTGGGTGAGTGGTAACATAATCGCAGTGAGATCTGTTGATCATTGACTCTAGGCTTCATAGTCTTTCGGGTGCGAACTGCTAGAGAGTTCC